TTTTATATTTTGTATTTTTATCACCCAATTCATTGCACATTAAAAATTATGAGTTCAAAAACTAATATATATTATATTGAAGTTTTGTTGATCTCTTACACGTACATATATTTAAGCAACGTATTAAAAGTTAGTTAATGAGTTCAGTTGAATCGGTAGCCCATGAGCGGGCTACATTCGCGGATGTCGATCTAACTGCTAAATTTGGCAAGTGATCCTGCTGACTGCCGACGGTAGAAGGGCTCCACAAAATAGCTCTTTCTTTGTGATTCTGCACTTCTGGCAATTTAATTCAATCTCGCTGTTGTGTGCCAAATTTAGGGTTTTGAGGGGTAAGGGAGGATATGCATGTTCTTTAAAGCTACCATGACGTACCTTATTTATGTACCGTCCCCTTCACCAGCATTGAACCGACTCATATTGACTAACATACAATGCAAGTCTACTTAATAATCACTCTTATGATCATATCCAACATGAAACTAGCAACATGGTCCAACACAAAATTACATTCTACAAATAAGTTAAAAATGACATTTAATTTAGCTTCATTTGATATCTACGCTCTTTTACTTTGAGTGTGCACAATTAACAGACACTTAAATTTATATATAGCTGAACAAAATAGACACGCACGCACGTCCTACTTGACGTCATATGGACAACTCACATCGTACATGTATTATTCCCATTGAACGCATGTGAAAAAAAAGAGAGTAGTAGTTAAAAAAAGAAAAACTGGTAATTTAAGTGGGGTGGGGGGAGGAAAAAAAAAGAGATAAACTACCAAATTACTAGATTCACACAAAAAGTATAATTAATATTGTAATTTGAGAGGAATATACAAAGTAGATTTGCGTCTTGTGAAGTCAAGATGGATTAATGATGCTTTATATGACAAGTAAAGTAACATTAACATATAACTAAACTAGTTTAAGTGATACATTACACGACAAAAGCTGGGAATATACTTATATATATAAAAGTGGCAACTCATAGAACAAACAATCTTTATTTTCTTTTATAAAAGAAAAAAATGTAGTAGTATGTGCTGCTTCACCTTTCCTCTGCCAACCCCGGCCCCTAATCGGCCATACCAATATGGAGTATATATTCTTCCTTTAATTTTCTCTAGCTAATTACGTGGTTTCAATACAAACCTATTAATCCAGCCAAGGTTCACTACTTTTAATTAATTAAAACATCTTACTATTTTCTAATCACCAAGGTCCATTTTAAGGTGGTCCCAGGTTGCAGAAAGTCAGAGAATCAACCACTTAGTGGCCACATCCTTCTATTTAAATTAATAATAATAATGTTAGGAGTAATTATTTTTTAGAAAACTAACCAATGGTTCCCACTAAATACATGACATGATTCTTCCCATTTTATGTTAATTGAATGAGAATGACTCCCAACTCCAAATTTTGTAGCTTCTCATTTCGATGTTTTCTTTTCTTAGTGGAATGTAAACCTTCTTTTTTTCTCATAGAAAGAGTTTTAAGTTCAATGCACTTGACAAGAGGTCGAATTGCTCCATCTTAGATATGACTTTGAATCAATATCAAGAGGTAGGAGTTCCTATAGACAACTTTAGGTAATGACTTGTCAAAAACTAATAGACTAATTAATTAAGTGACACAAACTCTGACAAAAAAGAGAGGTTGGGTGACAATAATCTAAGGAATAGGCTATCCCAATGCTCCTCATTCCTCCTCAATGGGGATGTTTTCCTTTAAAAGGACAAAGGTCCCAATTTATATCAAAGGATAATGAAAAACATCTTTATTCACAATCCTAATTAACTCAGTTTCAACATGCATGGTCCACTTCTTCTATATATAAAAATATATTTTTGTCATCTAACCAACTTTTTATTAAAGTTAAGAGATGAAAATTGGTCCCAAACTTTTGGCTAATTATACAATGCATGTGGCTGTCATCAACACTATTCACTTAACAGGGACAACTCAACATATATATATATATATATACAACACATCTCAAAAAGCCTTGCGTGAGGAAAAAATAATGCTTCTCGAGACAAAAATAAAGTTATTCCAAATTAAGCATGCATTAATTAAAATGATTTGTCATATTAGTTTAATAAGCTACATTTAATTTGTTTTAGTCTAAAAAATTATTTTAAGTATATGCATGCATACTAGCTATACCCTATAGAAATCTTTTATTGTTGAGTTCTATATTTTAACATGGGTGCAGGCTTAAATGCCAAACTTTTAACAAGTTAGTTTCGTAAAATCATTACCTGGTGAAAGATAAAGATTTCAATGTTATATTGAGTTGTTGTTTCTTGCCCGATGTATAATATTTATATTGAAGCTTAACTAAAATTATTAAAATCACATATGCATTTTACTATCTAAGAGATGAGGAGTCCATTTAAAATCGTCTGCCCTACACTCACTCCTAAGTATATGCTTCAATAGGAATCACATAGGGTAGATTTTGGTACAACGCCACTCCGTACCCAACAGATAAAATATAGGGCAAATTACAGAAATCACATACTTTAAAGGCAAAATTACAATTTATCCCTTAAAAGTTTATAATTACAGAAATCCCTCATTTTCGCACATCAAATTAGTGTATCATCGCTTATATTATTGTATCTCGCGCAT